AGATCCCAATACTCCCAAGTTGATCTGGACAATGCCTCTATAGCAAAAGGAAAAAATTAGGTAGAGCTCCACAAAGAAAAAAGTGTTGAGACTATGTAATCTAAAATGCATATTATACCTTGTAAGAAGTGTAGGCTTCCATCAATTTTTCGCTCCAGCGACCCCGTTCAGCGACATTTTTGTAGAACTCAACAGCTGTCGTGCAGGATCTCAGCACACCGATACCTGAGATGGATGAAATAAACGAGAATTGTGGCGAATTAGTTTATGTATGATATCAAAAACTGATACTGTAAGAGGTAATTATCAAAAGCACTTACCGGAAGAGTGCATGCGTGCAAGATTGTATGAAGCCAAAACATGGCCATTTTGTGTGGCCATTTGATAATATTTCAACGCAGCTTTGAAATCCTTTTTCACGCCGAGACCATCTAGATAAGTACATCTAGATGAGGAGTTGAGATTGAAAGAAAGCAATGCAAAACATACTGAAGAACATGTCTCCCAAGTACAGTTGCGCATCAACCCAGCCCTGCTCGGCGGCTAGCGAGAACAAGCGGTATGCCTTTTCATAGTCCCTGCGAACACCTCTTCCTTGCATGTACATGACTCCTAAGCCAGCCTGGCCATTGTGATTTCCCTGTAACACCCTCGCTTTGATATTTGATTGTTATACTGGCGTAAATAACAACCTTATCAGCGCTGCGCAAGAAGAAGTTGAAAGCCGTGGTGTTATCTTGTGGAGTAACGTGCGTTCCATCAAGGTACATCTTGCCAAGAAAAGCGAAAGCACCTGCATGCCCAGCTTCAGCGGCTGATGAGAAGTATCTAGCAAAGGGGCATTATATCTTATCAGCTCAACGAATCAAATAAATAACAAGGTAGCGCGTTTATGTTGCTAATAACACGATAAACATACTTGTTAGCCAGCTCAAAATTTTGTTCGACACCTCGCCCGCCGGTCAGATATAGTTGTCCAAGCCCGACCTACAGAAACAATGTTGCCAAAAGCTAATGTCACTTATTATTGTGAGGTAGGTAAAAAACGAATAAAGGAGAAACATATCTAGAAAAGATAGTAGGACTGATAGAAACTAATACTGGTAAAAAAATAGAAGCTTTTGCATGTAAAAGTGATATGACACTAAAAGTTACTATTCTGTCCAGAAATCACCTGAGCTGAGACATCACCCTTTTCTGCTAAGAAGCGATAGTACTCTATCAGATTCTGATCCATAGGCGTCGTGACTGCATTGGTCGATGAAGGCTCCTGAATATAACCTTCAATTAAGAAAAAAAAACTGAATACTTGAAAATACCATTTCATCGGTAAGTCTTATTCGCTGGATAGCTAGCCCAGTGGAAAACTTAAATCCTTCCGCCACTTTATCGGCTGCCTTTTCGTAGTATGATAGGGCATTCTCGCAGTTTTGAGGAACTGCTATTCCTGCGTAGTAGCGATAACCCTAGAAGATAACCGTCAACAGAGCCGCAGGAACTAGTAAAGATGGACAACTAAGAACATATATAGACACCCATAACAGAGTAGCCTGCAAAACATGCACAAGTACAAATTTGGAAGAAAAAAGCAGAACTCACCATAGCCATCTGCGCGAGAGGATTTCCACCAAGAGCCGAGAACATATAGTAGACCAGAGCCTTCGCTTGATTCGACTTCGAAACTCCCAAGCCAGTAGCGTGCATGAAGGCAAGTCCTAATAAAAGAACATAGATTTCTAACAAATGATAATTTTCGCATACCAAGTTGCGCATCTGGCGATCCACTTTCAGCGAGTTCCTCGAATATCTTCTTTGCTTCATCAATGGACCAGCGAGCACGATCACCAAACAAATGAGCATAGCCTAAGTGAATGAGCTTGGAGGAGTGAAAGAACAAGAAAAACAGGAAGCTGATTACCCATAAGTTTCAAAGAATCTGTGTGCCCAGCTTGTGCAGCTTGGTCAAGGAGTCGATAAGCAGCCTTCCGTCCTTCGATACCATGACCGCGCCCACGTTCCAAGAATTTCAAAGCTTGCTGATAAACGGCTTCGGAATGCTCATCACTGAAATTCATCACATACGAATGAGTCCATAAAGACTGTGCACTTGCTGCCAATTGGCAAAACACCAAGGCTGCCGAACAAAAACGACTTTGTTGTGAGTATACTGACTACGCCTTTAACTTATCAAATATGCCCAGGCAGCGGCTCGGCAAAATGGGCCCTTGTCAGGTTTTGGTGGTGTTAGGTAGCAGACTCCAGGTATACCGTAACCGAGCTCTACTTCCAACTCATGCGCTGACAATGAGTGCTGAAAAGTTTGAGTGTTAACGCGCTCAGCCCACCAACTACTTTCACTCAACAGAGGTGGATTGGGCTTTTGAAACGCTCGTTCAGGACTTAATCGCGAATTGGAAAGGTGGAATCGTAGCTATGGTATATCATACCTCCAAAATCTGACAAAGGACCATTTTACCGAGCCACTGCCTTTGAAATGCCTGATCGCTCTATACTGATGAGCGTTTCATCTTAACTTTCGCGCTACGAAATAATTTCGCCCTGATATGGAATAAGGGGTATAAGAGATCCAGTAATAATATTTATGGTTTTGGTACGCATGCAATTGTGCAAGTATGCATAAGACTGAGCAACAATCTGACAATACTCGTCCACAAAATGAATAAAGCAAAATAATTCAAGGTGAAAAAAGCAAAAAAAAACAGCGGTAAAAGCAGAATACTCACGCTTGTGGAGACGGTTTCTCAGGCATGTATTCGTCGCCGGGTGTGAGGGCTGGTGGTGCAGGTGGAGCTCCCTCGCCATCGTAGTGCTCGATGTCATCGTGAGATATGGACAAGTCAGCTTGAAACACTCTACTGAGTTAAAGAAAAAGTGGAAAAACTTATCTAAAGGTAAGCTAAGATTACCTATAGTAGTTCTAGTGGTTGTCTCCGATGCCTTCACTTCTGATTCGCTATTCAGGGCTACAACTTTCCGTTCACGCTGATGTTGTTGTTGTTCACGTTGTTGTCGTTGTCCATCAGGGCCTGCCTGTGCCAACGTGTGCTCGATCGAAAGTGTTAATAATCCCAACGATACCAGTTGGTTTAACCGCATACCTAAAAAGTGGAACTTCATGCTTCAGATACGATGGCATGGGCTGAATAGCAATGAGAGAGATTATACGAAGAGCTATAGACAAAGCAGACAAACTTTAAAGCATTCAGAAACCCTTGAAAACTCGCTTTTGCAAACTCGACGTCCCTTTGGCAAGCTGCCAAAACGACGCGTTACTGTGGGACGTGAAATTGCACACATTAGGAAAAAGTCGCAGCGAGCTGTTTCAGTACTCAAGGTGAACAAATAGATCTTCACTAA